ATTATCTTACTCGGTACTATCAAAGATGTTACAAAAAGTGTTGTTATGTTACCCACTAGCATCAATATGTTACTCCGTATAATCTGGATAGTAACTGATAGAATCTAGATAGCTGTTCATTGTAAGATCAAATATGGTACCTGGTACTATCTAGATATTATCCCGTACCATCTATTTCTCTCCGTGATACTTGTAAATGCAGTTTATACACAGTTTCAATGTATGCATTTAGTTTGTGGGCACCTCAAACCGCCCCAAAAAATTAACGAAAAATTTTTTTTCTATATGTAAAAAATAACAAAAAAAATTATGTAAAAAATAACTAAAAAAATTATGTAAAAAATAACGTAAAGAAAAAACAAAAAAAAATTCAATGTACAAAATAACAAATTAAAAAAAAATTTTTCATTTACAAAAAAGTTAAAATTTACAAAATTAAAAACAACATTAAAAAAATATAATGTAAAAAATAACAACTTTTATGTTTTGTACAATATAACTTTTTTATGAAAATTCTTGTGTAGTTTTGATACCGACCTAAAAAAACAAAGAAAAATTCTATGTACAAAATAACAAACAAAAAAAAAAATTTTTTTATTTATAAAAAAAAAATGAATACACTAAAACGTCAATCGAGAACAGACGAATGTGCAGTGCTGTTCTCGATTGACGCGATTTTTATCGCTCGAAAATAAAAACACTCAGGGCCGTATGAAGGGCCTTACGCAACAATGTGAATTCTATCTAGGGGATTTTCACTAGTGGGGCACTGAATCCACCTTAAATTTAAAAATCACAAGTACGACTTTGGCGTCAGTCATAACCTAAATTCTACCCGCTTCCCCACTTCCCTTCAAGTGTTCCCTTGCTCTGTTCTCGACTAACGTGTTCTCGATTGACGTTCTAGTGTATATTAAAATAATAAAAGAAAAAAAATTGAATGTAAAATTTAACAATTAATTTTTTGTTCGAGTCGGTATCAAAACTACCCAAAGTTTTTTTAAAAAATGTTAGATTGAACAAAAAAAAAATTGTTATAATTTTTACATTCAATTTTTTTCTTTTATTATTTTAATATAATCATTTTTTTTTATAAATAAAAAATTTTTTTTTTATAAATAAAAAATTTTTTTTTTATAAATAAAAAATTTTTGTTTGTTTGTTATTTTGTACATAGAATTTTTTTTTGTTCTTTTGTAGTGTTATTTTTTACATAATTTTTTTTTAAATTTGTTATATATTACAAATTTTCTTTTTAAATTTGTTATTTTTTACATAAAATTTTTTTTTGAATTTGTTATTTTGTACTAGTCGGTATCAAAACTAAACAAGAATTTTCATAAAAAAGTTATATTGTACAAAACATGTAAAATGATATTTTTTACATTATATTTTTTTAATGTTGTTTTTATTTTTTTTTAATTTTAACTTTTTTGTAAATGAAAAAATTTTTTTTTTAATTTGTTATTTTGTACATTGCATTTTTTTTTGTTTTTTCTTAACGTTATTTTTTACATAATTTTTTTTTGTCATTTTCTACATATAGAAAAAAAAATTTTCGTTATTTTTTTGGGGCGGTTTGAGGTGCCCACAAACTAAATGCATACATTAAAACTGTATATAAACTCCATTTACAAGTATCACGGAGAGAAATAGATGGTACGAGATAGTATCTAGATAGTACCAGGTACCATATTTGATCTTACAACGAACAGCTATCTAGATTCTATCAGTTACTATCCAGATTGTACCGAGTAACATAATGATGGTACCGGATAACATCTTCTTTTTACCACCTTAAGATCATAAATTCTTACCATCTATTTCTCTCCGTGTATACAAATGAATTTTATCATTAATCTTATGCAGTTTAAAGTTAGGGACAGTTGGGGTAAATGGGGACAAAATTCCTATTTTTCACAAATTAATTAATTTTATGCAGCAGAAATAAATTTAGATAAGCTTTAAACGCATGAAACTGACTGTCCTTATTTGATTATAATGAAATATTTTACAAACACAATTATGAAAAAAATTACAAAAATTACTTTTTTGCATCTTATAGTATAAAAATATTATATCCCTTTAAAACTGATGAATATATAAAATATGTTATAACGTTTTTATTGCATAATTATATTAGTATCAATTAATGTATATCGCCTTATGAAAAAAAGAACATTCTGCAACAAATGAAATATCAAATAAAAAAAGATTTATTATTACAATTATATTTTATGCGAATCAAAATTTCAATTTTGGAATAGAAGTAAAAACAACATAAGTTTTGATTATTTTCTCAAATTCATAATTTAATTCATAAGAATATCCTTGTGAGGGTTATATTAACAATTTATTTCAAATATAGTTTACTTTCATAAAAAAGTCCATAATTATAAGTAACAAATAGTCATTGAAAATGATAAATAAATGAATGATAAACTTACCGCTTAAATTGGCGAAAATATGTCTGTCCATTTTAAATTATTTTGACAAATTAAATTTTTTTAATTAAATGTCAGGAACAAAACATAATAAATGAATTTTTCAGATTATTTAAACAACTTTGCAATTCATAAATATTTATGGATTGAAAACGGGTAAGGCTAAATTATAGATATCCCACGCAATGATATCCCTGGGTTATCTGAGGGTTATCGTGGAACAAAAATGAGTTATCCACGCGATATCCAATGCTAAGAGGGTTTACATTTTTAGATATCAAAGACTCCGCACAAAATACATTGAAAAAAAGTTTCAGACGATTTTCTTTATACTTTGCAGTTTTGTAGATTATAATGTTCTTAACAAAAGTGCTGAGCCTTAAAAATTAGTAATTAAAAAATCAGTAGATTCAGTTTTAGAGATTAGTTCAAATTTCCAGTTGATCGAATCTTATAAGAACGAATTTATATGGAACGAAAGTTTTTAGTTTTTATTTAAGCAAATTATACTGATTGAGAATTAGTTTAAATAAAAGTTCCGTTAAAGAAAGTATTGCTTTAAAAAAAAAATTTTGGCTTAATTTTTATTAAGGCTCACATTATACCACATGTTTAAATAGATAATATTGAATTTTTATGAATAATTAATAATGGCATTTTTTCAAAGATTAGCTTATTAAAATATTAACGAAATAATTTGTATTTTACTTTGTTCTTTTAAAATTTTATTAATTTGTAAAAATGTGGGATAAAATTTTAGTTATTATATTATTACGTTTTAAGATTTTTTCGTTTTTCATTCATTAAAACAAGGATGATACTTTATTTCAAACATTAACTTGAAGTTGCAGTTTTTTTAATTAATTTAACTTAACCAAAAATTAAAAATCTTTGAAACGTCAGCAATATGGAAGATAAGAAACTTGTAAAGCTCCTTGCTAATGAACTGGAAAAAAAAAGAATTATATATGATAAAAAATTTTCTGATATTCCTCGTTTTGCAAATCGGAAGCAACTTATCAAATAGGCCTATGAAGAAATTGCTGAAAACATCAAAGAAAATGACGGCAAATACTTTTGGTTAAGAGGTTAGACATAATCCCAGGCGGAAATTTCCAACCGGCGCGGTACAGATCCAGTACCGACGCCGGATTGTCGGTACTGGCTGGGATCCGGCTGGAAATCGCCGTGGACCTGGTATTTATCCGAAAGATGACTTGGTTCTGTACAGACTGCGGATCCGAGGCGGTACAGGCGTCAAACCGCCCGGGACCTGGCTTTCATCCGCCTGTCATCCGGCTGGGTACTGGCATTCATGCGCTTGTCATCCGCCCGAGACCTGGCATTCATCCGCTTGTCATCCGTCTGGGTACTGCACCCAAAAAAAAGTAATCTTCATTCTATACGATTCCTCTTAAATCAATGCATATTTTCCTCTTAATTTTGGTATCAAAATTAATAGTCTTAAATTTAGAGGATTTTCCTCTTGAAAAAATCCTCTTAAAAGAAGAGTAATATTCTTATATTTTGACAAGTCGAAAATAACCGTAATACATAGGTTTTGATTATATTATTATATAATAATGGTTATGTATTGATAATAAAGCACAGTTTTGACACAAATGTTGATATCAAAACCTCAAAAAAATCCCTAATGTTATTAATGTCAATAATACCAATAATTTTTTCTAATTTGAATAAAATAATAAATATTTAAGGAGATTTAATTATCTAAATTAAAAATAAGGTAAATTATAATAGATTACTGATATAAAAAATTAAATACTGGTTTTTAATGAAACTTTTTGCTGCGCATCATTATATTAGATTTAATTACAATAATAATAATAATAATAATAAAATTCTATAGCCAGTTGCAAATATCAAAGAAGTTCGACGCAAGAATTTTAGAAAATTAAAAAGAAATCAGGATTCACTGAGAGGTTAATTTTATAGATCCATGTAACATAAAGTATCTCAAAAATCCAGTACCGAATTTAAATTGAATTCAGACAAATCTTTCGAAATATAATTATTTAAAATTATTTATGAAAAATTTAGATGTTAATTTTTGTGGAGAAAGCAAATCTTACTGTCAGAGCAATAATGGTCTATATAATTAATACAGTTGTAATTTTTATTCGTTTTTTAAAATAAAATATAATTAATTATTGTTTAACTGAGTATAATAAAAAAATTAAAAATAAAAGAATAAATAAATAATTATAAATATTGAAAAATGTTTTAATATTAATAAATATAATTTAGATATAGAAAATACAATTTTGTGGATTTATAAATATCATTTATTTAACAATTCTTAAATAGTAAAATATAAAATACATCAAATTTTTTATTTATAACTTAAGTCACGTAACATTGTAAGACAAGTTTTTTGAAAATTCGCGATATTTTTATAACTAATGAACGAAGGTTTTGCGAAGGTCGATAAAGGTCCATAAATAGGAGTGAGAAAATTTTTCAAAACAAAAAATCAGTTTTGTCGTTGTAACTGATGCCGTAAAGCAAACACGTGAGCGACATTAATTTTCGAATTTACAATTTAAATCGCGTAGAAATCATCTTTACACCACTTTTTGGAAGAATAATTAATTTCAGTGGATGAGAAATCATCAGTTCCTCGAACAAACGACATTTCCAATCATTAGCGTCTTCAACTTCATACGCATAGTAATGTCGACAAAATCCAATAGTTTTCAGAACAGAGAAAATGAAATAAATATTTGTATCGCAAGTGACAATGTACTTTATAATCCCAAAATAAGGCAATTCATTTGTATATCCTAAAACAATGACCATGTTTGGTTCGTATTTTGTGCCTTTTATTAGGGCCCATGGTACCACCAGCGATTGTCGATTTTTCACATTGTAAGGCAAGATTTCTGAAAACTCGCGATATTTTTCTAAATAATTAACACTTTGTTGCGAAGGTCCACAAGTAGGAGGAGTAAGAAAAGGTTTCGAAGTAAGAAATCGGTCGCATTGTTGCAACTGATGCCGTACAGCCAACGTATGGGCCAAATTGATTCTCGAATTTACAATATGAGCACCCTGTTTCGAAGATCTGTGTTTAGACTCCCACCTCATTGACCAAATATATATCAAGGGTCCAAGGAGTAACATCAGATCAGGATAATGCAACATAAAGTGGTGTTTTGGTGTGAGGCTACACTCGAATAAAGAAATATACATCTCATGATGTTCTGAAATTAAAACTCTCAAATACTCAATTGTATCTCGATTTACGTAAGGAGCCGTCATAATGTCTACTATTTCTCTGAAAACTAAAAAGAAATTCCAGACAGGATTATTCTCGGGAACCAAATCTCCAACCATCAAAGCAAAATATCTGATAAACGTTATCATTTCAGATGCAGAGAATTTAACTTTTTTATTAGACAAGTGATCTGCAGAAATAGGAGGAAGAACGTTTCCAGACTCTGTTAAACTGTAATCAAAGTTGCACATTCGTTCATTTAAAATTTCAAGAGTGAAGAATTTTTTCTCTTTAATTAGGTTATACAAAATATTTCCCATGTCATACTGTCCAACTCCAGCGAGATCATGCATGATATCGCAATGAAAATTTTGGGTTGGATCACCATAACTGCGAATTTTATTAAAGACGCATTTTTCGGCAATTCCAGTTTCAGTGGCGTTATTTGTGGTACAATCAGCTTGGTAATTTTCCGAATTTCGAAGAAGTTGATCATCAGCACGTGTTTGTTTTTGAAGGATATCTCTGTGCACTTTACAAGTCCTGCAAGGATAATTTGCTCTAAATCCACGAACAAATCCTAGCAATTCATGAATGCCTAAATTATCCCCAAGAATTGAACAAAGACAGAAATAAATTCTTTGACCATTAACGACTATCCCTTCCTCCTCTAATTCAATTAAATCCATGATAGTTCGTAGGAAAATTATATCATTTCCGAATACTTTATCTTCCGACAAAAACAATAGATTTAAAAACATATTCTCAAGAATTGAAATGCATTCAGTAGGAAAGCAAGCTATAGAAAAATAAACAGCTCCAAGCTTATGATCACTAGCATGGGAACCTAAAGCATTGTCTGGTTCAAAGTCATCGAAATAAAGAAAAAGCGGAAGAACGGTTTTATCACCGAAATTTTTCATCTTATCTTGCCAGATTTTACCCTGAACAATGTTAATAAATGGTTCTTTGACTGTTGAGAGATATTTTAGGTTTTGAAGAGTAGCATCAAGAGCACCTGGTAATTCTAAAACTTTTTGCAATATCTCTCTCATGGGAATGTGTTGAACATGTACATTACCGTGAACAAGTTCTGTACATCCGTCAATTTTTTTAGTCTTATATTCAGACCCAACGACAAATGGTTTAGGGGGAACGTACACACCCATTTCTTCTAAAGCTTGAAGTCTTAAATAATCAGTTTCAAGTCCTTCAAAAGGCTTTGAGACAAAGTCAAACAGTGACTGAATTTTTAGAATATCATCTGTGGGGGCTTTGTAGAGTTTTAAAGTATTAACGACTTTATTTTCAAGAAATTTCATGACACGATTATTTGACAATTTTGAAACATTTTCTATAACTTCTTGAACTGAACTACGTGTCATAGAAGTTGAGGAATACATTTTTGAAGAGAAAGAAAGTGCAATATCAAAAACATCCTGTTTCAAGTCTAAAAGGTTGGGATTATACTCTTCATTTTTTAACTCTTGCGACGTACATGGAACATTTTTATCAACGATCGAGACGGATTCATCGTCACAGTCAAAGTTAATGCTGTTTGAGTTTGAAGATCTTATGTGTCTTTCTTCATGTTCAGAACAAATAGGGTGATTTTTTGTGTTTTGAAAATGTTCTTTAAACTTTCGTAAATTATCGTATGTCCTTAAACAAGTGGAGGTTGTACACCTATATGTTTCTACTAATGGATGGCAATATTTTATGTGATGAATTAAAGCTACTAAATTTGGAAAAGTACTATCACACTCAACACACGGGTAAATCATTTTAAAAACAACTTATAGAAAACGTCAAAAATGAGTAATGTTGATTTCCGAGCTCGAGATTCACTAAACGAAAGAAGTGAACAATCAACCTCAAATTTTCCCTCACGATTCAAGAGTCTTCGTTTTTTCAAGTTTTAGTAACGTTTGAAAGTTCCCTGTCATCGTAGAAACATTTGAACTTTTTCTGTCGTAAATAGTAGTTATTTCATAAAAGGCTTGTTGAACAAAAAGCCACGAACTGTAGGCCTCAGATGAATATTTCGAGTTCAGTGCAAAAATTGCTTTAAAGCAAGTATCAAAAGCTTCCTTCAAAGATGTGAAATCATATTTCACCGTATCTATGACACAGTAATATCTGGAAAGTTTCGCCCGTGTTGCTCCTACAACCAGAACAAAAGGTTGAAGCGTACTGCCAATTTTCATTTGATTTAATCGCCTTGAAATTGCCGGGTTGATATCATTCGCTGTCTGTAAATCAAAATACAAAAAATTATAATTTAAACATTTTTTTCTAAGTATTAAACAAAAATTTATAGAATACAAACTAACAGTGACGTGAAGTATAAATGCTTCTTTGGATTCAGCTACTGTAGCACGAGGAGTGACTGATTTTCCCTTCCCTCTCTTTCGTGGTTCATTGCCAAATAAATCAGGAATGCATTGGAAAACTAAATTATCCTTTTCCTCTAAATTATAGACACATTGAAATATTAAAATTTAAATTAATTTAAATTAAAATTTAAATTAATTAATTTAAATTAATTAATTTAAATTAATTAATTTAAATTAATTAAATTTAATTGGGAGTAAAAGAAACTGAATAAAAGAGAAAAAGAAAATATAGTTAGAAAGAGTCTGAGAAAGAGTAAGCGATTGAAAGTAATGGAAAAAACTGGAAACAATAAGGAAATGTAAGTGACTCTCTTAAACTGAATCAGTGAAAAAGTAGTGAAAATCCATTGATTTTCACTGATTAAGTTTTAGAGAGGAGAGAGGATAGGAAAAAAAGATAAGAGAGAGACAGAGAGTACAATAAAAATTTATTTTAATACCATTTGTAAGTTTGCTTAAACGAGACAGAATCTCTCGTACTTCGTCTGTTTTACATTCCAAAGAAATAAGTTTGATCAAAGCCTCTCTCTTTATTTCCCAATCATTGTTCAATGAATTTTCTGAATTTGGATATTGCAAAGCAAAATCAATTTGAAGCTAGAAAAAATCATATGACCGTAAATACAAACAAGTATTTATGGTTTATTAAGAAATAATAATTTAAAAAGTAGTTTACTAAAATGTATCCCGAAACAAGTCTTAGAATTTTATATTCTTCGAAATATTTATATATTTGGTCGGAATTAATTTCAGACGTTAATTTTTTCGTCCGAAGATGATGTGTTAATTTCCAGTATTTAAGCACGTCTTCCCAAGGTTCCAAATGTTCTTTTAGCCATCCATCAGCATTGCGTTCATCGATTGAAACTGATTTTTTAAAAATAATTTTATAAAATAATTCCAAAACTTCTATATAGAAATGATAGATCTATTGTTACGATAAAATTTGTTTTATACTTTTATCAGAATTTTCAGAAACTTCTTCGTCTGAGCTTGTCTCATTGAAATCGTTTTGGATAATTTCCGCTGATGTTTCCAACTTCCGGCAATAATATTTTTGATTTCGTATATAGTTAGGCAACTTTCCCTCGTGATTCCTTTGATAAATTCCGTTAGTCTTTGCTCGAATGAAGTAGACAAACTTTAAAAAAGTAATTTATAAATAAAAATTCTCAAACACAAATAAATTTTTGAAGTAGGAAAAACTTAGCTTACTTCAGATTCAGATGGAAAAACCTGTCTTATTTTTTTATCCACCTCTTCGAAGTCATCTCGACTAGGACTGCAAAATATAAATTAATATTAAATTATTAAAAATTATTTAAATAATCACACAGTAATCAATGTACAATGAGAGATCTTACTTTTGCTTTAGATTTAATAATTTATCTCCGACGATTCGTACGATTTCTGAACGGCACTGTGAGTTAATTAATTTACTTTCTTTATAGTATTTGATTACACTTCTGCCCTTGGCCGTTGAATTCAATAACTCCAAAACATTCTAAAAAAAGGAAATTGCATTAATATATTTAAAAATTTGAAATGGAAATAATAATATATTCATAAAGAAATAGATATAAATTTATACTCACTATCTTTTTGACCTCCTCACTTTCAGCCCACTGACGAATACGTTTTGCTTTCAGTTTTGTCGAACTTTTCGATCTTTTTAAAGACTCTTTGATCTCACAATTACTTTTAGAACAGCTGGGTTCTTCTCTCGATTTTGCTAAAGGTTGTTCCTCCGGTTGTGTTGTCAATATTAACAAGTCCTTATCAATTTCCATTAAAATCTCAGAATCATTATTGCCGTAAACTGAATTGTCTTCCACCTAGAAAAATCTCAGAGAATTAATAACTTTAATAGTTTAATTTTACAAAATAATAAATAAATTCAATTACTCGCATAAAAAATAAAAAATTGTATTAATAATAATAATAATAATAATAATAATAATAATAATAATAATAATAATAAATAATGATTATAATAATTGTAAAATAGATAAATAAATAAAATAAATAGAAACTATAATATTAAAACCTCCATTGAATCAATTTCCAGTTCTATTTCTAATCGACTCAAAAGCACTGCTAAATCTCCAATTGGTGTAATAATTTGACTAAGAAGAAAAGGCATTTTCTTTAATTGCATCAAGCGTTCCATAGTCAAGACGTTGTTCTCTATAAAATATTACGCCAAAAAATACATACAACCTTTTCAAAACATAACCAAAGTATATTTAACGTTATTACAGACGTAAATTATTATTATTATTATTTTTATTATTATTATTATTATTATTATTATTATTAAAAATATAATAAAATTATTATAATTTTCAAAAATTAAGCAAACATAAAAATAATAAATTTTCGTATATTCTTATACGTTAAAATTATTATTTTTCAAGACATATTTCCATGTATAGTTTACTTATTTGTTATTATTAGAAAAAATTAATTTTTGGTCTACTTACTTATAAACGATTCAATATATTCGTTTAGATGTAAGTCATTTAATAAATCTTCGAGTTTTTTTTCCATTTTCATCTCATTGACATTACACATACACTATAACGATAAATAAACTGTCAGGTTATAAAAACAAAAGCGCAACTGTCAAACAGGAAAAAGTTTAATCAATATAAATTTTCATTTTTTCCTTTACTCAAATATTCTAAATTTAAACAGGGAAATCTTAATTAAATAGGAAAATCTTAATTAAAGAGGAAATTGCAAAAGTACTCCTTTTGTCATTGTTCCATTACAACAAAGAATAAAAATATTCTACACTGAAATGGAATATTCTTATTTTAAGAGGAAATATTTAGAGGATATTAAAAGAGGATTTTTCCTCTAAATTTAAGATTACTTTTTTTTGGGTGTGGCATTCATCCGCCTGGCAAGCGTCTAGGATCTGGTATAGTTCCGAAAGATGACTAGGATCGGTGTAGGCCACGGAACAGTCTCGGTATAGGTTTTCTGCCGCCCAGAAACCGGCTGGGAACTGGCATTCTTCCGTCTAGCTACCGGCACGGATCAAAAAAAAAATTTTAGAAAAAAAATTTTTCTGTATCCCCTACCCGAAAGTACGGACTTCCCTGTCGGTAATCGTTCAGGGAAGAACGGCTTTTGTGGCCGGCCAGAAACAACGTGCGCTCTGATTGGCTACGAGACTTTAAAGGCTTGATGGCATAGCAACCACATAGCAACGCTTATTTCATGGCCTGTTTTGTGTCAAGTGCGGTAAATAACCACAAAAATAAGCAACCTAAGTTAAAAAAAAGTGACAAATCATGTATAAATAAGATGTACTTGTGTAAGTGTTATTGTACTTTCTCCTTCTTTTTAAATGTCTAAACTGAAAATCTTTCACTTTCATCCACTATTATAAAGTAAACAAAAATTTTCAAAGGTTAACTATATATACACAAAGACACAACACAGGTGATTAGATGCCTTATGGTTAATAAACTAAATTCCATATGCCAAATTATTATTCGTGCATTGGATTTTTGTGCGTTTTATTTATATTTTTCATATAATTTTGACGCCCGCCCCGACCAGCAAAACCTCGGCTTCGCCTCGGTTTTGCAAAAGTCGGGCGGGCTACCTGTCATCTGTAACTAAGCCTTCTGCTACAAGCTTCGCTACGTGGCCGGGAGGGCGCGCTGACGCGAGCCACAGCAGTAGACACATGGTTAATGCCATTTTATTAAAAAATAATAATTATTAAACGTACTTTCGAGTGGGGATAAAGAAAAATTGTATACGACACACGGCCAAAAAGTTTGATGCCCTGCTGAGCGTGATATAAGGCCTCGGCTTCGCCTCGGCCTTATATTTCACGCCCGCCAGGAAATCCAACTTTCTGGCCTAGTATCGTAATATACTATTTTAATTAACAATGCAGAATGCATATTAATTATTTGTTATTAATAGTTCACTCGAAGTATTTTTCACACATTTAACTTATTTTTACACACATTAAATTTTCTAACTCTCGCAGGGGGATTCGAACCCTAGCCTATCTTAATCTAACGCACCGAAGTCTAATACGCTAACCACTAGGCTGTTCGCTCACTTGAGAATCTCAGCATAACAGAGCCGATTTAAACTGTCACTAAGAAAAATAAATTTTTTTAATTTTATATGTTTTAATATTTGTATTAGTTTACTTTTTTAATGACAGTTATAGATTGCATAATTAATTTGTAATTATACGTGCCTATAAAATCAATACATCGATACCCAAAGTAATTTTTTAACTTACTGCAATTTGTTTACGTTCTAATTTCTTTTTAAATAAAAGAAATTATAGTAATTTTTTCGTTAAAAGCGTGAAAATAATTTAAATAATTTAATAATAAATAATTTTAATAATTTTTTTTACATTATGTAACAAAGAAAAATTCTTGAATTAAATTTGAATGAAATTGAAAGTTAACACAGCAAAGTTTGTTAATATAATTTAAAATTAATTAGTTTCTAATAATTATTAATTCTAAAGACATTTTAATGTAACGGCAAATTTTTATTTATTTAATTGACAAAATAAAAGTAATATTATTTAATAAATTAGTAAGATCCATTTATGAATATTTATTTAAGATATTATACATAAATAAAAAAATTGAGTTTAAAAATATGTAACTGTAACCTATTTTTTCAAATTAATCTATTATTTCACAAATTAATTTTATGTTCTCATTGTTAATTATATTTTTTAAATACATTCTTTAAAAACTCTTCTCACAAAAATGTTTTACAAATATGATGCATTCTGGTATATCCATCATTTAAATTATTATTTTATCAATTTTATTATAAATAATTGATTTTGTTAATTTATTAATTTGTATTACAAACAATAAAAATAGAAAAATTTATTATGCATCTTTGTTCAAAATTTTTTTAAAAAATAATTATTCTTCAAGAACATAAAATTTATTTATAAAAATTAATTAACTGGAAAAAACAAATTATACAATAAGAATTTTCTAAGTTTATTTTTATTAATAAATTAATATTTTAATAATATGAATATAAATTATAATCATTATATTATGAATTATATTGTTGCCAGTCGGTAGAATGCCAATACCCAGCCGGTTGCCAGACGGAAGAATGGCAGTTCCCAGCCGGTTGCCAGGCGGTAGCAATTCTGATCCGAAAATCCAAACGAATCTGTACTGGATCTCCACCGGATCTGTACCGGCGTCGGTAGAAAGACAGATCCGACTTTCGGATCCGCATTGGATCCGCGCCGGTTGCCATTGACATCCGAATCGGTACCGACTGCCAGTACTGGCATTCATCCTCAAATCCAACCGGCGCGGTTCCAAGCCGGTTGGATGATCCGGCAGTCGTCCGATTTTTCCGCCTTGGATATGTATTTTTTTATTATAATGCTTAAGAGGTGGCTAACAGGTTACGAAAAATCAGTAACAGATTTTTTAAGAATTAGAGACACCCCCCCTGGCACATTTATTATCGTAGTTTCGTGTAATTATCGCATTATCTCAATTTTTTATAGGTTGTCACAAATTTCTTGATCTCCCTCACCTTTGAAGTGTGACATCATTTTGAAAAGCCGCCATATTTATATAAATATAATATATATATAAATAATATATAATTATATAAACAGAAATCTATTAAATTAAATATATTAAATACTTATATAATAATATATAATATATTTATTAAATTAATATTATATATATAACTTGATTATATTTTTATCTATTACTATATTTCTTTACAGGGGCTAAAGTAGAGGAATTATGGAATAAAATCCGAGACAAATACAGTCGAGTTTCAAGAAAAGAGTGCAAGTCATTGGACGATAACAAATTCTTAGAAATATTTTCGTTTTTGAGAAATTTCATTGAAATTAGAGGAAAGAAAAAAAAATGTTGAAATTGGATAATTGGTTTTTAAAATAATTATTTGTTTTTTTTTAATAGTTCTTTTTCATATTATTATTGGTCCTATATTTTAAAGTAATTTAATTCATGATATATTCTGGCCAATACTAACAATTGTTAATTAAATATACATAAAGTATAATCATGCAACAAAAATAAAAATAAATACAAAAGAATTTCAAATTTATTACCTTCATTTCTTTAAAAAAATTTATATCGTATTCCAAAAAATCTTTTTAGAATATTACCTCTAAATTGTTATCTCTGAAAAATAAAATTAATTCATGGCATAGAAAACTTTTTCAAATAATTTTCTATTAATTGATTAATTATTGAATTAAATATGAATTTATTTTTCTTAAAATTTAATAGTGGTTTTTGGTCAAACTTGACATTTTTAAGCTTCATTTAAAATTCAGATGCAATTTTCAGTAGTTTAGTTTTTGTTAAGTCAGCCGTGCAAGAATTAGACAGAACAATTAAATAATTAAGAAACTAAATAAAAAAAATTTCAGTTGTTTTTTAAGTAGTGTAATAATAATTTTATTCTAAAATTGAAGTATAATTATTAAAAGAATTATTCTCTTTAGGTAGACTTTTAAAAAAATGGTTTGAAGCTTTTTTAAGTAGTTTAAGACAGTATTTGGTCAGACTCAATATTTCCTATACAGCATTGGAGTTTATAATTGGACATACAAATTTTCAGTAGTTTAGTTTCAGTTGAGACAGACATAAACAAATAGTTAATTAGTTTTGCAAAATATCACACTTTTACATAGTGTGAATCAGTGTTTCGTCAGTCAGCGAATAATATGTAAAAAGATTTAATAGAAAATTTTCAGTAGAATATTGTTGTTTAGATAGATATGCAATAGTTAATAATTAGGGAAAATACTACTTTAAAGTAGTGTAAGTCTGTGTTTAGTCAGATATTCAATAATATTATTCAAATTAATTTATTAAAATTGAAATATAATTGTGTCTTCTGAATTTTTAATGGCTTATATTAAATCTGATTTTGTAGTTTTATTTAGGCCATTTTTTCTAAACTATTCCACTCTTCCACCTGAAAAATAAAACAAAGTAAAGTAGTTAAAAATATGGAAGTATTTTATAACTATAAGTTTTCTTTTAAATAGTTTACAAATAATTAAAAATAATGAAAAAGCTTAAAATTTTGTATGTAAATAAATAAAAATGATTTAAAAATTAAAACATTCTAACCTGGGCTCACTTTGTTGACAGTAAAAATTGATTGTCTTCCGAATTAAAGCAATTTTTTCTGAAAATATAGTCGATGTAAATGTGGTATAGTTATTCTTTTTATAATTCAAACTGCATTTCAGAAAAAAAACTTACGTCTTACGATTGACGGTGTCTTAACCTGTGTTATGAGTTTTAATGAACAAAAGGTTAAATGAATAAAACACGTTATTTTAAAAAATAAACAATTATAATTGAAGCTTTTATTTATATAAACAAAAAAAATTATATTGTTCTTATGTTTATAACCCATAAATTTATTTTTTTCTTTATTGAAAATATGAAGTTTATATGTTATTTATATTTATCCCTTATCTTGCAAATTTCTACACAAACGTCAATTTCACCACATAAAAAATTTCATTTATCAAA